CTACATATGGATCTAAAATAACTGTGGTCCATGCCGGGCCTACGTTGAGGATTTCTAGACGCGAGGGTAGGGTCGGTGGACGGGGCGAGGCGGAAAGGGAACTGGTTGGAATTTAATGCAGCCGGGTGGTACTAGCTGTTGAAATACCTCGACGAAAGGATCACCGTGCTATGACCCCTGGGCTGTCCGAACGTCCATCACGGCGAACCGAACGGAGCCGTTCAACTCCGCATTGGTCGCTGGTGAGCTGGAGGAGCGTTTGTTGACTCTGTCCACGCATTGTTCTCCGAAGCATCGAGTGAAGTGCGAAGTCAAACAGCCGAAAATGAAGCCGAATTTCGGACACTGGACCGTCTATGCACAGTGTGTGGTTGACTCCGCCTCATCGTTTCATCTACGGCTTTTTCAAATCGCCAACAACCTCGTTCAAGTGGCCTTTCAGTGTGCGCCACAATCTTCACATGCCTTTGTTTTTTCTTTGGTCAGCCAGCTGTTTTTGGCAATCCATGTTGGCGAACATTCTTCGGCTCCATTAGTTCTCAAAGAACAGCGCTCACCTTGGATACTGTACTAAAAGCCCCACATTGCTACAGTAATAAATAGTCCAAGTTGAAGTTTCCGAAAATCACCGTTAGTGGTCCGTTTGGATGGTAAACCCGCTCTTTCATTCAATTCCAGGGGCCAGTTTTTAAAAGGATAAAGGATAAAGATAAAGCATTTGCCGTTGATCAATCCCTTTTTGGGATGCGGCACGCATTCTACTTCCATTTGTACATTCGTAGTGGCGTTTGAATGCGATGTGGCCTATACAATGACTTGCGGGGGCCAGCCGATGTACAAGTCAGTGTTTTTATCCTCCCAGACAAGTCTGGTACCAATTAACCGACCCCGGAGGGATGGAAGGCTTGGTTGGCCCGGGCGACTCACGACCCAGGATTTGATCCCGGACCGCTCGCGTGGTGAGCGCGCCACTTGTCACTGCACCACTCACTGCGTTCCGCCCCCCGTAACCCATGATGAGTTTCCAAAAATAGAAAGCCCAAATAGAGTTGAAATTTATGGCTTGTGAGCACATTAACGCTGTGGCTGAAGCGCCAGTGGTCTTGACAAATGAAGGGCTGCCACCTTACCAGTAGCTCAGTGCGTCCAGTACCTCACACAGTGTAGTATTAAAGTCCGTTGGAAAGCTCTTGAGCCCCTACGAATGCTTAACACGAAATTAAATGAAATTTTTCGCTGATCAAGGGTAGCGGGATGCGCCACGCAACTCACTTTCACTAAAAGTTCCTAGCCGGGGCAATTCAGAATTCAGATCGGCCTTATACGACGATTGGGGAGCAGTGCCAGCTGTGAGCCATGGCGACTCCTTCCCCTCAGACAAGCCTTCGGACCGCTGAAGAGATTTCGGAAGGCTTTGCTGGCCTGAACGATATTCGATCCGGGATCTGATCCTTTCACAGTTCAGGTAGACGAACTTCTTGTCAGTCCTGGCAGGGTAATTTGGTTAAAGCCACCTGTATTGTCGTCCCAGTGCTTGTGGAATCCCTCGAGCGGGCTCCAGCAACGTCTCTATTCGTTCCTGTCGTGTGCTAGGGTAGCCCAGTAGACCCTCCTCGCTCGAGCGGCACTCGAAGTCTTTCACTCCTTCCTACAGAGCTTTCGTGAAGAAGTATGACATCAAGCCGACGAAAATTCGGGGGAAATAGGCTTTGAAAAATATCGCCGATTATTTCTTGTCGCAATGTCGCAAATCGCAGCATCGCTTTGTTCGACGAGTTGCGTTGCGACGGTTTGCAAACACAATCATCGCTATGACACTCTCAAAAACTGCCGCGACTACTGCACATTCAAAAAGTGCAATTTCGTCGAGAAATCAATAATCTGTGCATGACCGTAGTAGATGTAATCGATTAATCGATAGCTGGCTTATGCTCCACGAATAGGTTATTGCCCTGAAACAGGAAAGTGCAGTCAGATATCAGTAAAGCAAAACTGTAAAATCATGCTGGAATAAGTCTTGAATTCGTGTCGCGGCTATCGCAGTTGGAAGGGGCACAGCTCTCGCAGACGTGAGAGGGGGGTTGCGTTCCAATAACCAGATGTTCTCTGCTCCTCATTTAATATTGGTTCCTTACTAAAGTTTAGAAAATTAATTCTCACAGTGCGAATTCTTCCCTTTTAATTATTGCGAATTTCAACTAATTATTTTGCTTTGTTTCTAATTAAATATTGGTGCTATCACAAGATGAGGGGGCTTGTATTGGCAGAGCACTCAAAATCGTGTTGAAAATATCCTTTTGGAAACGGGACTAAGTATTAGGCATGTGAGGAGAGACTCCAGGGTACATGAGCAACTACTTTTTCTCAATGTTCCTGTCCCCTAGGGAATGCCCCGTACCTTGCGATAGCGCCTGAATTATTTTATTGTAAGGTAAGCGTGAACAATTTGAGAGAGGGTGAAGTATAGCGCTGTCTTGAATTGCCGTGGCCAACAAAATGCACTACTGCTGTTCAAAATTCCAGAATTTTATTACAAAAGTTAGAAAGACATGAAGATTTTGAAATGTTTTCGAATTCGAAGTTTTCGAAATTCAAATAAGAAATTTCAAAAATTTGAGATTTTGAAGATTTGAGGATTCTCTGGCATGTTTTAGACTTTTGAAATATTTGGGAAGAAAATTCTCAGGCTCAAACTGTAAACGAAGGAAGGTAAAATGGTTATCTTCTAGAAGGTAAAATAAAGCACAAAAATAGACCAGTTTTTCTCAGGCTACACCTTGCTTCCGACGGGCACCCACTTTGCTTTTGGGGCACTGATGCCATTCCAGCAGGTATTTATTGAATATAACGTAAATAAACCTTGCCGGTCGTATACGTATCTTTATCTTCTTACTAACAGTAAACCTTCGTACAGAGGTAGGCCTTACCATTAGCCCTTACAGCAGTACGCGACTGTCGATCAAAATGGTTTCCTATGCACAGACATAGGACGGCATGACACTAGACAAGTCCCATGCGCCTTGAATAGGAAATTCAGAGCAAAACGTTCCCTTTTTTCGATTGTTCACGCCCAGCAAAACTATGCTCTAAAAGAAAGGATTTCTTTAGATTTCTTTTGTTAAACCACAGCGAGAAAAAACAGTCACTTGGAGGCAAATGCCTTTCAAGTGTAAAAACCCTTCAAATACAAGTCTATCTAAGAGCCCCAGAAACATACAGTTTTGCGTCCTATCAGATCGGGGGGGGGGTACACGCGACGGAACCGCGGCTTTGTTTCGTCTGTTCCTACAAGGGTTAGTACCGATGCCCACGTATTTTCGAAACGTGCAGTCGTGGTGCGCCGAAATAGTAATTGCCCTTGCGGAATAAGCCCTTTGAGGCGAGTACGGAAGAGAAGTGGTGCCCCGTCGCGGTGGTCCCCCCCAACTAAGATAGCACCTCAGTTCTAAGGAGACTACGCTCATTAGCAGAGTAGTAGTTCACGACGTCCCTCTCCGGCTGTTTGGGAGAAGGTTGACGATTGATCCTCGACTTCACACCCTCCTTGCTCGCAAGTCCTGCCCATTCCTCCACCCCAGTTCGATGCAACAACCCCAGATCAGAATGGTGATAAACTACGTCTGGTAATGAATTTTTGGATGCCGAAGTTACTGAAAATGAAAAAAGAACGAAAACAAACAGTCGATGACACAAGCATTGCCTCTCTGCCCCTGAAATGAGGGAGGGACTCGTCCGTTCATTCCGTTTATTTGTTTATTTATTTATTTATTATTTATTTATTTATTATATGTATTTATTTATTTATTTATTTTTTGTTCAAACCATACACTGTTACTGATGGCCCAAGTTTTTTTCGCCAACCCAGCATTTTTGTGAAAGTATTTACAAGGCCGAACTGCGACCGAAAAAACAGCAATTTGACAAACCAAAGTTGCTTTGAAATTCTATGGCTATAGTCTCCACATTCTCCCTCTCTCCTTTCTTCGTTATTTCTTGTAACTTCGGCATAGTTCTCCTTTATTGTGGTAGTTTCTGTGTGCCACGAGTGTTAAGGTGAACATTTATTAGATTCCGGCCAAAGTATAAGCGCTAACTAATACAATGGCGTATGCTCGTACGTGCGTCCGCCATGAGCACTGAATAGGGAGAAAACGGTGGTGCTTGCCTTATTTTTATGAGAGCGCCTTAGGCCGATGTCAGACTTTGCGAATCGCGCGATTCGCTAGCGTCTGCGGTCGCGTCGCGGCCAGTGAATCACTCAATTGGCTGGTACCGCAACGCGACCGCGGACGCTAGCGAATCGCGCGAATCGCTAGTAGCGAATCGCGCGATTCGCAAAGTCTGACATCGGCCTTAGCGGTGCGGGAATTGCCCACGTACTTCCCGCGCGAACGGCGGAATCCTGGGTGAGTTTGTCAAAATTATTTTTCTTGTGTTTCTCGGTGGAGGTTCTGACAGAATGTCGGAACCGCTAGAGTGGATAAGGCGCTTGGTGGATTAGAACGTAAGTCTCAACCTTGAACCGCATTTAGGCCTCAGAAGACGACGATTTTGTCGAAACGTTAGGCCGAACTAATAAATGTTCCACCTAATAAACCTCGTACGGCACAAGAAACTAACACAATCTATGTTTATAGGCTTTCAAATGACATTCAGTTTTTTTGGGAATAACAAACATATTCAAAATTATGTTCGTGCTAAACTATTTAGAATTTATAAGCAAATGACCATTCATAACCTTGAATTAAGAATAGAAATTATGTCTAACGGTTATCAAACAATAACCCTGCACCATTTTAATACAACTCTTGAGAAAATCATTATTTTTTGAAATTCAGACCAACTTATGAATGGCTTTGTACTTCTACACAACCCTAACCGTTTTAATCCTGGTTCACAAAATTCTCGTAAATATCGCGTTGACACTTGCTACCGTATCCCTCTTGAAACTTTTGTGTTTATGTATGTATGGATAAATGTGTATTTGTGTGTGTGTTCAGCGGACACAATCGGAGCCGGTCAAGAAGAGCCAGCAGCTGTGAGCTTGGTGAGTCAGCCAGCTCCAGTCTCGCTCAGTCCGTTCGTCCGCTTCGTCTCACTGAACGACCGGTTCCACATCGTAGCGCTCTCCCGTATAAACGTATGTTCTCGAATAGCCCTTGTCTTGAACATAGCCCTATTTTGACGAGCCTTGTCTCAAAAGTAACGCATGATATGCGGCGGATTTCAGGTGCATGTTCATTTACGGACTACTCCTTGCCGTCGTCTCGGCCAGCGACGGCTATTGGCACGTTGCCAATTCCAAGTGAAAGCGCCAAACTCGTCAAAAATCGATTTGATGGTTTGTATCGAAAGTTTATGTGGTTATATAACGAAGTATTTCTGCTTCGACAAATCTTTCTTGATGCGCCACGCACTCGACTTTGGCTCAGTTTTGTTGACATTCAGTTGAGGGCTAGCCTGTTGTACGCTTAGGGTTTCCGCCCTCCCGGCGAGTCTAGCGCTAATTGGCCTTCATTGGTTGAAAAACATATTGGATGGAGCTTACGCCTCGGATTCGATCTCATGACCATGTCCAGCCAAATTGCATGTCCTATTTGATCTCCATCAATGTTTTCCCCGTAAATACCCCACAAATCATCCACAACGAACCAGTCAGTTCTTGCTTTGCAATTAATCATCGAATTTCCCCTTAAAAGCTTACAGTATCTTTCTTGAATACTTCAATCATGGCTACTTTCGTTGTTTCGAAATTAGTTTCGTCTCAAAATTTTCTGATCTCTCACCCTAATATTCAAAATTTATCTGAAACTTCCTCGGATGGGGAAAATCTCGGGGAAATGCTGTGAAAATGTCACTTAAATCCTACTATGTTATTTCTGTCTCTCATGAAGACTGTGACAATCAAAAAACGATTTTTTTTTTCAGATTTTTCGGAAAAATTCTTGTTGCCTGAGGATTTCATCAATGCTGCTGAGAAACCAGGTTCGTTTCTGATTGATTTGATTGGACTCATAGAAATTGTGCCATATGCGAAGTTGTACAATGTTTTTTTTTTGGTGCCTCAAACGGTGGAACGTTTGTAAACCACGTGTAATCCGTTTTAGAAAGGAAGTGTGACGTTAGGTCCGGCGATTAGCCGCGCAAGTAATCTAGAAGCCCACAATATTTGGTCTTAGTCATATTTTAGTGAAGGCCAAATGTCACTAGGGATTACCGGGATCACGAATCATTCTCGGTTTATGCCTAACGCCACATATCGCTTGCAGCAAACTCGCGCGCTCTAAAGAGGACCTAATGACACTGTCATTTTGTTAGAATGGCGCCTCTCTGTCGGAAACAGGGTGGTTTTGATAATGACCTCTCAGCTTCAATGTTAGCCGCTTTGTTCATCTATTCTCTTGCTCCGATTGCCCTGTCATTTTCTCATGCTCATAATTAAATAGGCGTCGCAGCTGCTGGACTACGCTCTTATCAGTTCATATGCTGATATTTCTATGTCAGGTTTGAATTTAGTGGTAATAGGTGATAGCCTCGCTTCTTCTATATGCGAACCTCACTAAGCCGCGGATGGGTCCCCTACGTAGAACTTATTATGAGCTCAATCTGGAAGAGATCTTGTTGGTTTTTGTTTTTGGCTTCGCTCAAAGACACATTTCTCGGCAACCTTTGTGCCGAAAAAAATTCACAGCTGCTGAAGGCGAAACTGATTATCATTGTGGTAGAAGGCACCTCTGAACACTTTCACCTCCGCCTTTTCAGACAGTCACACCCATGTCTCCATCTCTCTCGTCTCTATACTCTCTTTTTTCGTGTCTGAGTCTCTCTCCTTAACACTCCCTCTCTTCGTGTAGACTCGTGCGACGCTCTGAAAATGCTGAGGAAGGGGCTCGAATCAGAACTTTTGACGTTTCGAACAGTTTCTATTCGTTCTTGCCTTATTGTTCATTCAAATTTTATCTACTTTTTTCTGTTAGGATCTCTCTTTCCATATAATTTTTATCGTGGAGTGTGTCTTTAAGTTCGATGTTCTTCTCCTATACCACTTGGGATTTCCATCATTTTGTAATCATGTGTACCCAATAGTGTATGGGTTTGTTTACTTTTCCAAAATCTGCCATGACTATTTCTCTTCGCTTAACCGTGGATTAGACCAAGCTGTTTTAGTGGACATTCCTACTGATGCTATATTGGACGCTGTTCAAAATTCGCAGCTGTTCGAAGGTGACATCATCGGAATGCCAAGTATCGACGAGCCGACGCTTCGTCGTCTTCGCGACGATCCACTCGATGCCGAGGAAGCTCGAATTTTCGGGACACCTGTAAGCTTGCGGCCTGTTGAGTTTGGATTGTTTCCGGATTTTTTGATCAATTAGGCCGATGTCATAGTTTGCGAATCGAGCGATTCGCTAGCGAATCGCTGGATCCGAGCGTTGCGCCAGCGAATCGAACGTTGCACCAGCGAATCGAACTTTGCGCCAGCGAGTCGAACGATGTACCAGCGAGTCGAACTAGGTACCAGCGACTCAATAGTGGCGGGACCCAACGTTTAAAGGAAGCCCGCCACTTTCAAACAGTGTCACGTGACAGTGGACGCTGTTTGAAAGTGGCGGGACTTTGACAGTGGACACTGTTTGAAAGTGGCGGGCTTCCTTTAAACGTTGGGTCCCGCCACTATTGAGTCGCTGGTACCTAGTTCGACTCGCTGGTACATCGTTCGACTCGCTGGCGCAAAGTTCGATTCGCTGGTGCAACGTTCGATTCGCTGGCGCAACGCTCGGATCTAGCGATTCGCTAGCGAATCGCTCGATTCGCAAACTATGACATCGGCCTTAATGATTTTTTAGCAGTATCACAGCGCTCTGAATCTCGCCACCTATCCAGAAAAGCTTTGGACGGACGCACAAGTACCCGTACATGCTCGAGGAAGGAATGACGAATGAGTAAGAT